ACATATATAATATTATTATAATTTGTTTAGTTAAGTTTGACCCATTGTTTTAAAATTGGATATTACATTTATCCCATCGCACCTTACTTATATAGAACATGCACTTCGCGTTAGGTGAAACCTACATTATTCAATACTAGTATTGATAAGTTCTAAAACTTAAAAAGCATAAACTTAATATTCAGTTTTGAGGGGGTTTTCAATTAGTTTGATCTCACCGACTTATTTATCATATAAGTCGTCTGTCACATGCATCAACATACAAACAAAATGAAACAATTATGGCCCCTAGCGCAATTGTTCTCCCAAGTCAATAAGAAAACCTAAGTTAAACCTAATAACGATCTACGCTTCTCCAAGCAAGATCTTCAAGGTTGTCCTCCTTTGATCTTGTATTCTTCTCTTTCTTCATAATATTACATTACACCAAAGGATACTCATTTTAAATACGAGGGAGTGAGATAAGAAAAAAAGTTACATCGAGAGATTAAAAGAGAGGCACGACACGCAGATTGTATTTTAAAATCCCCAAAGAAGAAGGAAAATTAAAGCCATAACTGGTCACCACAAGAGAACAATAACAAATACATTTTATTATTATTAATTAAAATTTTGTTAATTAAATAAATCAAATTAAATTTTGGAAAATGATCACACTATGCAGAGTAGTTAGGGGTTCCGCTGCCCGGGGGTTAAGTGGGCAGTGCCCACTGCAGAGTTGTTAGGGGCATCGCCCCGACACAAAATTTTAATGAACAATTCATTTGAAATCGGAGTTGTTTTTTACATCAACCCTTGATATTATCCATAAACATTAAAGCAAAATTTTTGTGCTGTCACATTCCTAATCGCATATGCTTTGACAATGCAACCCTTGTGCCCTCTTTAATCCTAATGCAACAACTTCATACCGTCAAAACACCATGATCAATAATTCAGTATAATTGATTGACATGCCATTGCTTCACCATACTAATGTCAGATTCTGAAGCAAATGAACATGAATCGCTCAAAGGAATAACAATCATTACATGATTGAATGGACGAAGTAGAAACAATATATCCAATATACCATATTTGCACCAAAGTTACTTATATTACATATAAAATTTGATCAATCATATTTGTTTAACTTAAGGATGATCGATATATCGTTGCTTCACCATACTAATATCAAATTCTGAAGCATAGTCAATATCGATCATCTAAATCGTACATAGCCTGATGCCAAAATTAATTACTTGATTATAATTTAATTTATTCTGTGTTTTAATCGAATTAAAATAGAAAGTGAAGAAAATACACAGTTATCAGATGCACTGTTTCGTAAGTGGCTCTGATACCACTGAAGGAAAATGGAGATCCAAAATGCAGCAAAAATTAATTTTTTTTTGTTTCCTTTAGTGATCGATACGAATGGTCATGATCAGTGATAGAAACGATTACCTCTTGTGGCAATGAATCCTTTGATGCTGAATCGAAGGAGTGGTCATGAGCGTTGAACGATGAACAATGCCTCTACTCAGTCCACACGAACAGATTCATTCAATCTCAGTGCTAGCTGTTACGATTGAAGGCTTTGAGTAAGAGAGAGAGAGAGAAGGAAATACGATTATGGTTTCACAGTCTGAATTTTCATCAAGAGTGAATGCTTCTGCACAAAGGTTCTATTTATAGAACCACTTGTGTGGGTTGCAAGCTAAAAAGCCCACTTAAGTGCACGCACACCATATCTTATGGTGTATCGTATATCACCTAGGCGCGTAGTACCTTACCATATTGTGTATACTACTTAAGTGCATTGTACCTTACGATGTTCTACATTTACTTAAATGCACCATACCTTACGGTGTTCCGTATTTACTATACCTCTTATCAATCTCTCCTTATGTGTGTGACCCCATATATTTTCGCGATGTTGGCAATTATATTAAATCACGCATCTAACATAATAAACAGTGAGCGATATCTAGCAACACATCACTGCTACCCAAGTCACGAAAATGTCATGTGATCTAACAAAACATTTTATGATAATACTTGTGTATACAATTACCCTTTTGCCCTTATGTCTATATTAAACACAAGGCATATACCGTGTCATCCTTGTCCAGTTCAATATTGGCCCCTTAGACATTTATCCTATTATGCAGGATGAGCAAATTCCATCTAGGTCACTCATGTCCTTCAACATGCTTTGTGGAGTACCCATCAATTGTCTTTATGGTTATCCAGTTATGAACAATGTTAAATCATCAATAAAGTAATCGACTCTACATCTAGGGTCCATAGTGGTTTCAGGTCGAAGGGTGATATACACCACTATCACCATGAGAGTAACTTATGACACTTTGCATAACATTCTATTTAGTACTCTCATAACGGGTCAATCCAGTATAAATATTACCTCTAATATTATCTCTAATATTTAAGACTTGATAACTCCTTATCCATGATCCATGGGATGCGATCATCACTCTATCTATATAATAGTCTTAATACTTTAAGGTTATCTCACTTCACAGTAAAACTCAACTACAGATACTTTAAGAATAATGTCCTTATGTTTAATGGGACCTCATGATAAAGTCACACTTAATATTTCATTAAACAGACTAGTTATTCTACGAACTTTATTATTCTATAAAAATAAAAATAATAAAGAAATGCCTTTTATTATTAATAAATAATTTGATACAAGTACCAAAAGTATTGGTCTCTAGGGCTTACACCAATAGAATAAACATTAAGATTATATGTGTAAGTGATATATAAATTCATACGCATTCGGCAGATGAAACTCAATCCCATCATATTCTATCATTTGTGAAATTCATTTTATCATTTATTATTTCTTACATCTTGATATCGTTAATTTACAATCCAAACATGTTTTAAAATTCACTTAAAATATTAATATTTGTTGAACGACAATAGTATCACATCAATCCTTGTGGATACGGTATAACATATTTACTTTTGATTACTGAACATCAACAAACAATGTCGAGAGATTACAAAAACGCCACCTTTCTTCCTTCTGACCATATGACCGAATTATATTTTGGGGGCATCTGTTAGCTTGGAATTTTCACTTAGTAGAAAAGTCGACTGAATGCTGCTTTGAGAAAATACTAAGTGATAACATTATTAGCATAGGTCGACAACAATGGTACGTCGACTAGAGCGTTTTGACTAGTATCTTAAGATGTGGTTTGAAAGAATCTCAAGACCAGATCTTGAGATATGGTTTGGAGGAGTCTCAGGAATAGACTTGGGTAATCACTCGACACCATTTTGATGATGAGACTTTCGATAAGCTCCAAAGACTTAAGAAAATTAAGGAAACCAAAGACAAAATAAGAGACTTAGTGATATCAACAACTACCTGCGACGAGCAGACAATTAGTAGTCACTAAAAGCAGTTAAAGAACGTGAAATAATAGTTTTTAGCAGTTTTCAAGTATTGACAACGTGGCAGTGCATCAGAGGAATAAGTTGCATGTCTTTGAAGACGTTTTGATTCTTTATGAATGAATTATCAGAAATAGTTATTTTTTGTTTAGTATATATAACAGGCCTATATGTTGTAATCAAGATTGCAAATTTCATATACTTTCTCTATATAATTGGAGTACCCAAGACAAAGCGTGAAACCGTTTGTGAGTGAAATGTGAGTTTGCGTCCACTTCATTGTATTTTCTTTATATTTCTTTAATTGAAACATCTTTTGTTTTTGTCATTTGCTGCATTCATTTAATTTTGTTTATTGAAACCTCTTTTTACTTTAATTCAAGTTTTATTGTCTTTAAAGTTTGTCTTTATCCTGTCCATACACAGACATTTATAATCACATCATATACATATTTTTTTTGCAAATGTTTTTGAACAAAGTTGCTCTCGAGATTTTTCCAAGTTAATCTCACAGGCTTTAAACTCGTGGTTGTTCGCTAAAATCACATGCTAATAGGCACGTAAAAAATATTATAACTTATGGGTTATAAACTAGTGTTGTAGCAAACTCTCTCGAAGTCGAAGAGTTAATGTAACTGTTGAAATATGCTAGCTTGTTGTTTAAGTTAGCATGTCGAATTAGATCAGTCTATCAGGCCAATTGTTTAGTATGTTAATTGAAAATTATGATTTAATTTTCTTATAAATAACATACTAGTTATCACTTCTCTATCAAGCCCTGATAATCTTGATCAGAGAGAGAAAGTGGTGTCATTGAGATTAAATTGTAAACATTATTTTCTAATGTGTAATTTAATCAAGAATTCAGAATTTTAAATCACTTTGAATTGTTCTTTTCTTCCTTATTCTCAGTGTTTTCTATCTTTATTGGTTTCTTGCTGATAAAAAAATAATCATACTCTATTATTTTAATATCGATCTTACAACAAATATATTTCTAAATATTGTGAAGGACAATTTTGAATTTTAATAAGGCACCTACCTTCCCTTATTAAGCCCAACAAGTTCTATAAAAGACATCCCCTTCTTGAATGCAAGCAAGTTTTATCTCTCAAAAACCAATAATATCCCCTATTGATGTGATTAGATAACATCTTTAATCTATTCTTTTACTTTATTATACACCCCTTTATTTATCAACCACTATTTTCATTCCCTTTATAGACTTTCCATTCTCACCACACCACCTATTCCCTAAGTTTCATTAAAGCAAAAGACAACAAAAATTTCCTCAAAATAATTATTTTTTTCAAAATCCAATAACCCGACAAAGCCAAACAGTAAAGTGTAATTTTTTCCTATATAATACCTTGGTTTCTCCGTCTTTCTTGGAGAAAAACCATTGCATGTTGTTTACCAACGTAACAACTTTACCCACCACACTCTTTTTCAGTTTTAATTATTACTATTCTCTCAATTTTGAATCTTGTTAATCCCTTAATTATTAATCAATTCATTTCCATTATCAACTATGTTCATAACCCTTTTCTTCATTCCCCTTTTTTCATTTGAGTTTGAGCTCTCCAATGGCGTTTCCTGCTTCAATCTCGCTTCCTTCTGATCCCTTCGCTTCAAAGCTTCTTCCTTTATCAAGGGTATTCGTTAATTCTTCTGTTTTTCTTATGTATCTGTTAATTTTGTTGTTGGGCTAATTGAATTTTTTTTTTCTGTTATAGATCTCTGTTCCTGCGCAAATTACAGCGAAAATTGAGCTAACCCAGTTGATATCATTAAGGTGTGTGCCTAAAGTTTTGTTCTTTCTGTTTCAATGGTGTTGAATTTGCTTAATTTATGTAAATGGGGGTGTTTTTAGTGGAGGACTAAAGTTTCAATATAATCTTGATTTATCAGAAAAAATAAATGAAAATGGTTATAAAGTTTGAATCTTTAGTAAACATTTGAAATTTTGAGTAATTGAGTTTGATATAGAGTTTAATTTCTAGGCATTGTCGGGTCGGGGTAAGGACTTTTATCAAGGGCTTTCGGTTTCATTATGCTTAATTGCATACTGTTATTGTAACTTATTATATAAATGAGAGTGATGTTTTATGTGATGACATAGAGTTTGCAGCTGTGATTTTCAATTTCATTCCCTATGATCTAAATGTATATGCAGTGATTTTAATATTTGATTAATTTTCATTTTTTTCAGCTGTTCCTTTAAAGTAAGAGACAAGAATATTTAATTGAATTAGGGTTGTTGAAAAAATAAATTAATACATTGGAATATCTTTTTTTGTTCTTTTTCTGCTGCTTCTGCGTTTTATACCAAGTTTTAATGTTTTGCAGAAAAAGTAAGTGTTCTAGTTTAAAGGCTTCGATGGGGTCTCCGGGATTTACCCAGCAACTTAAGGACAACAAGTTAGAGACTTTAGGTGAAGTTAAAGACGGTCGCGATGATATATTTAATGATCTGAAGGATAGATTTTTGAGTTTTAAGAAGAATGTATACATGTAAGCTTCGCAAAATCCATGGCCGGGAACATTTATTTTGTGTCTAAATTAAAAGGCAGATTACTTAATTTTGGTTTTATTTTGCTGTCAGGAAAAACGCTGAACAGTTTGAAAGTCTCGCCAAGGTTCAAGTGCCAAAGGTGATTGTTTGTTGCTTATTCCTTTAAGTTCATTCTTCAATTTTGTACTAAACTATAATATAAACAAGTGTTCTATGCTAACTATTCCTAGAACAGTTCATGGTTATTGCTTGTGCAGATTCCAGGGTATGTCCCTCAAGTATTTTGGGATTTCAACCCGGAGAAGCATTCACAATCCGTAATATTGCTAATTTGGTTCCTACCTTCGAGGTATATAGATCCTGTTTGAATAAACAATTTAAGTAAATGCTTATATACATAAGCTATTCGTACAACAAAAGATAAAATCAAATCAAATTCTTTTCATATAAACTATATGCTATTTTTAAAAGCTATTATGAGAAACTTGTGGAAATAAGCTGAAAACAACTTATGAACATGCCATAAACTGACTCTCAAGTGCTTATGCTAGTAGTAGATAAACTCGAATAAGTTATTTCAAATAGGCTTGAAGTCTCGCTTCTATCGACTTATTTAGATGTTTGTCTTCACCGATTTATTATCATTGTTTTGGTGTGTGAATATAAGAGACAGCCTAATTTCTTCTTCTAATTCCCTTTTTCCGATGCAGAGTGGACCTACGGAAGTAAACGCTGCGTTAGAATTTGCGGTAAACACCCTTCTGGTAAGCATTTCTTTTACCGACAAAGTGGAAGGAAGGATTTATCTTCCTTAATTGGTAAGAAAACTATGAGATTTGTACTTGTTTTTAACGAGAGACAATTGTTTTTTACAGGTTGAGAACATCTTAGTAATTGGCCACAGCTGCTGCGGGGGTATACGCGCCCTTATGGGCATGGAAGATGATGGCACCACAGGGTACTTAATTCTAATCATTCTTGTTTCTTTTCTATCTTTAGTAAATGTGTTCTATATATATACGGTTCTCACTTGAATATTTTCATTTTCCGTGTAGCTTTATAAAAAGTTGGGTTGTTAATGCAAAGAATGCAAAAGTAAAAACCAAGGCTGTTGCTTCCAACCTCGACTTTGACAACCAGTGCAAACATTGTGAGAAGGTGATATTTTATGTTCTTAGATTTGAATGTGTAATTTGGATGTTGAAAGTTTCGAAAAAAGTTGATTATGTTGAATATTTTTACATTTTACAGGTATCAATTAACCATACCTTAGTAAACCTACTTAGTTACCCTTGGATTAAAGAAAAGGTGGAGAAAGAAGAACTCTCTATTCATGGTGGTTACTATGACTTTACTGACTGTTCATTTGAGAAATGGACATTGGACTATCGGGGAACCGAACTCGAGGAAAATGGAAGAGTTGCTACAAAAGATAAAGTATTTTGGTCTTGAGTTTTTACTTCTGTTTAATGTACCGGTTTGCGTGTCTAAAATTCATACCTATAGGATTTCAAAAGCATAGATTGAATAATGTGTTTTGTATAACTCATAAAGCATTGTAACTTAAGTTATTTGATTAAACCCCAACCATTTTGTGTGTCTGTTTGTTTGTGGTTTCTGAAAAAGTTTCGAGTTGTAATGTACCGCAGGTGTATTAGCCAGTGATGAAAATTTTCTTGTTATTCTATGGATTCCAACAGAAAGGATTTTGCCATCTATGTAATTATTATATGATTCTTTCCTTTCAATTTTTTTTCACTCATAATTATCAACTCATGACTATGAGCTCGAGCTTGCTCAACCTTGAGACATGACGCTAAATGCGGAGATGAGAGCACGGAATCAGCTGCAAACTCCAGGCATCTAAACAGCACCAGTTAGCTTACAAATGTAAGTTAAGGAACGGTTAGTGGTTAAGTTTTCATTCATATGCGTTCGTCAGCTTGTACATATACATGAGAGTCTAACTGTAGTTTTTTTAAGCTGGCTAAATGGGTTGCTCCATCCCGAATAAGTCCGATAAAATATATGACATGCACTTGAAAATAAGAGTGCGAATTACATCAGGACTTTTTTTGCCCAACCTGATGAAGCCCAATTAAAATCTGGGCTAGGCCGAACGACTTCAAGTAGTCGCCCTCGTAAAGGGAGGCAAGGCCAACAAGAATAATTTACTTTTAATTAAATGTGGAAGCAAAAGGGTTTAAATATTTTTTAGATACAGTTTTTTTAATACAAAATCAATGTTGTGCAACTAAGCTCATGCATGACACGGATCCCTTAAATGTTACAGCGGCATTCTGATGAGTTTTATGACAGAACAGTGTGCTCCTGCTCCTGCATAATGCGCAATTTAAATATGACAGAAATGTTGTACAACATAATTTACATTATGTCAGTTTCTCAAGTTGTGTTTATTTTTTAAATTTGAAACTATATTACATATGCCGACCCAGTCTGACAAGCCCGCAACAGGTTGTTAAGGATAGATCTATTGCAAGTTATACACCCAAGTTGAAACACTACTGCAACACACTTTGTAGGAATAATGGAACTTTCTCAATCACCGAAGATGCTTAGTTTCTGCGACAATTTTCCTTTACTCTTTATGTGTGTGTGTGTGTGTGTGTATCCAATCTAACATCATAGCTCAACTGCAAACTATTTTTTAGTTATGGTTGTTGCACTATCCAGGACCAGAACCACAACCACTTGAAGTTCACCAGACTTCCACAACTTATATCAATCATAAACCTTCTGCATATAACGGAAGCTCCTATACATACCCAATTATATGTAGGTTGCACTATTTTCCGTATTAATCAACAAAAGAGTTTTCGATTAACTGGGAGCTGTAATAATTCTTGTATGCAGGTTGGTTTTGAGCATTTCAATATACGGCGACGGTTTTCAACAATTTCTGTTCATAGTCATCATCATCACTATTCATGATGACTTCTGGGAATGTTGTTTAAATCAAAATCTCCTTTACATCTCATTTTCCACTATCTCACTTTTAAAGAATTGGCATAGTTTGATGTGGCATAAAAGTGATCATCCACCAAGCCTTGACAACAAAGCAATGGTCAAAGCTTGTGAAAGTTACTGACATACAACAGTCATCTACTCTTAAAATTCAAGGGTGCAGTTATTCTATTTTTATTGTCTGCTCTATATGCATACGGAACACATAGACAGGGAAGTAGATACCGCAAGCAATTTTTACAAAATCAACATGGTGCAACGATCAATGCTCATGCATGACATTGATTCCTTAAAGATTATAGCAGCATTCTGATGTGTTTTATGACAGCAACATATACTCCTGCATAATGAGTAGTGTAAATATGGCAAATGTTGTATGACAGAAATTACATTATGGCAGAAATATAAAACTGGGCTTTTCGGCCAATGTGGCCTAGTTTGGACTTGCTTGAAGTGGACTAGGTGGCCACACCAGGAACATTGTTATGCACCAACTTCTTATCTCGTGGAAATTGTTTTGCAAACAACTCAGCGAGTGAAGAAAGCAAAGCCAAATTCGATGTTCATAGTTTCTTTGAAGGTAGATGACTCCAGTCCACCTGTTTTTACTCAGGATCAGTATATTAGATTGTTTGCTCTGATTCAATATGTATCGGTGCATTCATCCATCAGCCTCAGTCACAACTTTAATTTCATGATAATTGCCACCAAATAACTCACTTGATTTTAGCTTAATTGGCTTAGTTCACTTCATTAACAAGGATCGGTCTATTACTATTTGAGTTTAAGTCAAGTGTATTGCTTATGTTCATTTGTATTAGTGTAACGCTAAGCTGCTGTTGTTGTGTATAGGTGCTCGTATAAGCGGGGCTAGTAACTGATGCACTGATAATATAGTTATGCAGAAGCCAAGTCTTGGACTGTCATACACTAGTATAAACGCTAGCACACTATTTTTTTTTTCAAGTGATCAATCATAATAAAATTTACAATAAAAGCATAGCTTCCATTGAATCAAAACATGATATCAATCGCCTTAACGATCCACTTCCATTACTCAAATTGATTCTGTTACGCTAACAACTTTTGGTTCAAGGTTTTCACGGTGATTCACCCTTCTTTGCTAGCTATCTTCTTGGTTGCAGAACTCAAACCTTGTTGATTTTAGCCATCACTACTTCAATGTGCAAATGAAAGTGAGTATTCCACAACTGCAAGTTGAATTGAAATTGACAAAGAAAGGCAACCACTCCATAACTGAGTATGTGTTAGGGAGTCAAAGCTATTGCCAACTCCTTTCTCGCAATTGGTGATTCAATCTCAGAACAAGATAAAATTGAATTGATTCTTGATGGTCTCCCGTAAGAATATAATCCATTCGTGATGCAGATGTTTGAGAGCATTGATTCACCAACGCTCTATAATGTAGAAGCACTGCTCTATGTTCAAGAAGCGCAATTGGACAAGTTTAGACAAGAATTGGACGTGTCTGACATTTATGCAGATATTGCTTATACCAGTCATGAAATAGGTGGTGGTTTTTCTGGTGCTCGTGGTAGAGGTCGGGCACATTGTAGTCGGAGTCGTGGCAGAGGATGCAACTCAACTAGAAATCGCGTCCATGAAACATAGTTCAGCGATAAGAGTTTGACTTTGTAATTTTAAATGACCGAGTTCAATTCTAGTTGCATAACAGTAAAATATTCACATGAAGATATAAAATTCCTTGTTACATAGCATATCTTTTTTATTACTTTCAAAATGAAAAATGATTTACAACAAATGTATCTGGCTAAGAAATGTAGGTATATGAATTTAAAATATGTATCATGATAATGCAACTTGAACACATGCCACATAGTGAATTTGTCCATAACAGGACACCAACTCATCTTACCTTGTTTTTGTGGTTTATTCTGTTATCTCAACATTCTAATATGACAAAAGATTACATGTTCTCAACATCTAAAATAGAAACAAGAGCCAACTAATTCTTATCTTTATAAACCACACAATCACATGACACACACAACATTGTCTATAAAAGTCCACAAGTACAACACACATAAACCACCACAACCTTAAACACACCAAAACTATCATCACATATAGAAATATTCATCTCACTAGTTTCAAAAAAATGGCTTCCATGAATGTTGTGTCATTCATGATACCACTTCTTCTACTCATAACATTTTCATCAATGACAAATGTTGAAGGAGCACGTAACCTTCTAAACATACATCAAGTTTCCAAAGTTGATTTGCCACCACTACCAACACTACCATTACCTACTCTGCCAACACTGCCTACTCTACCTCCATTACCAACAGACCCACAATTGCCAGCAGTTCCAAACTTAGGTATCCCAATCCCTAGTGTCCCCAAGATTCCTGAAATTCCTAAGCCACAGTTGCCTACTGTTCCATCTGTGCCTAAACCATAAGTATCTAAAAAGTTCATGAAATTTATGTACTATATTTTAGCTATTAAATGTGTGTTATCTGAGGATGTTTCATTTGTACTTTATGATTATGTGTCATATTGAAGCACATGTTGTGTTCAATTTTTAGTTTGTTGGAGTGTGATTTGTATCATCTAATAATGTAGCATAAATCAGCTATTGTTTATATGTATATTTAATTTCATGTATATCTTTTCTCATCATATATAGACCATGAAGGAATTATGTGGAATGAAATTGTCATCATGACTTGTATTTGTCTAACAAACGTGCGAGAATCTACCAGGATCAACAACAAATAAAAGATAACAAATCGAACAATTAAATATACAATAGAAGACTTATATTTTAAGGTGAAAAATTCTCAATGTGAGAGTAAAAAATCACAAAAATTAAATTCTCTCATTTTTTTTCTTTCAAAGTTGATTTTTCTACCTTCTTTTATCTCTCTCAATCTTAAATTAATTTTCTCCACTTAAAATAAGCGAGATACATATGAGTTAACTTATAAGCGGAAAATAATACGACTATACCCAAAATTATAAAAAATTATCAAATCCACGTGGAACAATATTTTGAAGTATTACTTTCTAGTATTTCGGTATGTGTATAATGCTTAGCATAAAACAAGTTCGGTTGTGTGAAAATGAAAAATAATTCAATTATTTTAATATTAAAAGCAAGAGTTCAAAACAATGAGTTTTATCTATCGATTTCACTCATACAAAATGCTATATCAATCATAGCGAAAATTACACTTGTGTAGAAAATACTAAACTAGAGGTAACGTCCACTCTCGTCGACGTGTTAGCGGACTTTAAACCCACAATCAACTATTTTCGTAGTACAAATTTGTGAGTTTAAAGATTTATTTCAAAATAACATTACTCTCTCGATTAATTTAGAGACACTTTCACAATGTCTAAATCAAAAGTTTGAATTTTTAAGTCGGATACCGTCTACACCCTTTCGGCACATAAGCGGTATCTCGGTGCTCCTACTT